GAATTAGAAAACTAATATTTAATTAGGCTAATGCTCTATGTTGTTATATGAATTTTAATTCAGAATTCTGGCAGGAGTCTTTAAAAACAGGTTCATCCCCCCAATATTTAGGACCTTCTTCAAATATTTAGGACATATCTGATATCTAGTGGGATTCTGGAATAAGCTCTGAAGTTAGAAGTTTTGTCTTTTTCTTTGCCTGGGGAGGGGTTCTTCCCAGTGTTCCTAGCACCTAGAACAAATTAATAAATGAATGACTATATTGCAAGTCCATGTGTGGATGGAAAAGGATAGAAAACAGAAAGTGAGTTAGTAATATTCATTGCAAGTTTGAGATTTTTAGCTTGTTGGTTAAATGAATAAATGCAAAATTATTTATAAATACTTTGAAAACTACTGTGTATTTTTCTTTTAATAAGAAGGCAATATTTTACTTTGCCATTACTCAGTATGTGCAAGTATATCCCTATCTGGTTATAATGCATTTTTCTTAAGGGATGTGTAATAGACTAATTTTCACATTAAAAAAATGTATACAATGAAGTTTAAGGCGAGGGGCGGGGATAGGAATAAGAAATCCAAGACCAAAGAATTTTCCATCATGGGGTCAACTTTGGTGGAATAATGATTTCTCTTAAAGAGCGCTGTTCTTTTTTTTTTTTTTTTTTTTTTTTAATCCTAATGAGTTTATTGGGTTTGCAAACAGATCCTAGGTGGGGGCTTATTTACAGAAGAATGCCAACCCCCTATTTATAGCTGCACTAGAAAGTCCACACTCAAATATAGATCCTGTGAACCTTCTCCACAGCTGCACAGAATGGCGAGAGAGGTGCCTCATGGTGTTCTCGGCTTATCCAGCCTTAGCCCCTCATCCACATGCAGCTAAGATCAATTGATTGGGTGGGAGGGGTGGGAAAAGAGGTATGACTGACACTTATAGGATAGTTGTTGGAGGACACTTCCAGTTAACACTTCACCCCTTCCTCCAGCTCTTACATTCTTTCTGCCAACCTCTTCCACAAAAGTCCCTGAGCCTTGGAGGAGGAGGTGGTAGGTGTGGAATGACCTTCCTCCCATTGTTATTTTCTTTCACATTTTTAACAACTTGATATAGATCACAGCAAATATTTTCCTAAGATTAATTTAATTTAAAAGATGTAGGCTGGAGAATTGACTCAGCAGTTAAGAGCATTGGCTGCTCTTACCAGAGGATCAGGGTTTGATTCCCAGCACACACAAGTCAGCTAACAACTGTTTATATCCTCAGTTCCGGGTGATCTAATGCTGCCTTCTGTCCTCCGGGGCGCTGCACAACATGGGTGCACTTACATGCGGACATAACGCTCCTACACGTAAAAAAATAAAAAATTATTAGTTTGTGTGGTGATTGTGTTTATGTCCTGCATCTGAACATGTAAATGCGTATGATGCTGAAGGAAAATTAAGTTTAGAAATGAACATTTTACTTCATTAATGCCACATTACCTGAATAAGTATATCCAGTTCTATTTCAAATAAGTGATTTTATTTCATATTTTCATCTTTTTATGTTTTTCATTTTATTGTTGGTGTGATTATCAAATTATTACTTGCTATTCAGTTTGACAGACATGTGTTGTACTAATATAAATCAGTCATTGCTTTTTTTTTTTTTTTACAGCATTTTAAGCCTAGATGCTCTATCATTGTGTCTTGATTGGAGATTAACACATAACAGTTTAAAATTACATAGGAATGCTTAAGTAAATACGGGAAAACAAAATAATGTGGGAAATCAACAAAGGAACTACTTTATATTTTTAAATGGGAACTGTGAATTTAATCACTCTGGCTTTATAAACTTAAATTATGTAGTTGCTAAGATTAGAGCCATATGTTTTAGTTAAATTGGAGAGACCATCGGGGTTTGTGTGCGTAAATAAAATTTTTTGTTATACCTATATACATGTGAGAAATATATATCTTTCATTTATTTGTTTTTTATTTTTATTTATTTAAAAATATATTTTTATTTTATATGTATGAGTGTATTGCCTGCATGTATGTGAGTACACCCATGTTGTGCAATGCCGCAGAGGTCAGAAGAGGGCTTAGGATTACCCTGGTACTGGAGTTAAGGATAGTTCGTAGCTGCCATGTGGGTGCTGGGAGTCGAACTCGGGTCCTCTGCAAGAGCAGTCAGTGCTCTTAACTGCTGAGCCATCTCTCCAGCCCCTCATTTATTTGTTTAATAAATTATTACTGTCAGCCAAATGGTAGGCAGTAAATTGGGCATTTAGAGTATATCATTGCAAAGAAAAATGAATGGCAATATTTGTTGGTGATGATAAAATTGAGTCCTAAAAGCTAAGATTACAAGTTTGGAAAATAGTCAGGTATGGTGGTACATGCCTTTTAATCCCAGTACTTGGGAGGCATATCTGTGTGAGATGGAGGCCAGACACGTTTAGCTACAGCTGGCAAATTCTGGGCCAGCTGTAGCTACAAGGAGACCATCTGAAAAACCAAAACCAAAACAGAACAAAAAATGAAAACAAGAACAAAGGAAGAAGAAATTTGGAAAATATATCTACCACCCTGAGCTTGAACTCCTTCAGTGCTTTTTAAATAATGGAATTAATGATAACAAATGCAACTATATAAAGTGTATCAACTGTGGAAATTGAATTGCTATGGAAGTTCATCATGTCAATAAGCCAGTAATTTCTATATGACCAATGCATGGTATTAAAAATTCTTCACAGTATAAAAGAATCATTCACTGTTCAGTACGAACGAATGAGTTTTTACATACCAGAGTGCATTGATAAAGTTGCAAATTCTACATTGCAATTAATGTTTTAGAAACTGTCCCTTGTTGAATTCTGGTGCAGTATAAAATAAATATTCCCACAACTACCAGAATACTCTTTCCATTTTCAGTTACCTGTTTGAGTTAGATTTTCTGCTTAAATTTCAATCAAAGCAACATACTGACTGTAACATTGACTGCAGTAGCAGAGAGGCGAATCCACCCATTTCTGTTAAAGTGATCAGTAGAAATGCAGCACAGTCCTGCTTTTCTCATTGCTTTAAGAAATAAAATAGGTTTTTGTTTTTTGAGACAGATCTAGCCCAGAGTGGCCTTGAACTTGTGACCCTTCTGCCTTTATCTTCCTCTTACTAGGAATACAGGCTCATACTACCACCCTTGGCTCAGAAAGTCATTTTATGTATATTTGTTATATTAAATATGGTATAGTAAGTGTGATGTTAAATTGAGTAGGGGGCAATTGGGAGGAGTTGATAGGGGAGGGAATCTAAATACTGTCAAATTGTATACAAATCTCAAAAATTCAGCTAAACTAATAAAAATAAGTGCAGTAAATTTTTATCTTCAGTTTTCTTATTTTCAGGTTCTACCATGGTAAACATGATAATCTACATAAGCAAAGACTTACTAGATTCCTTTAATATTTAAGAATGTAGAGAGAGTATGAGATAAGTCTGAAAGTTGCTATGCTAGTGGAATAATTCCACATCTGAGATGCATGTTGGAGTAAAGTTACATTATATGTTTAAGACTTGGAATTTATAGTCAACTGTAAGGAATGACAAAACACTTTTGAGCTAAAGAGTGATAATACCAAATAAGATGAATCTCAGGTGCTTAGTGGGTTAGGATAGCAGCAGTGGTAAGTAGAGTTGGGAAAGCAATCACAGAGCATAGGCAGTAGGACAGACAGATGTAAGGGCAGTAATGGGTCAGGTTAGTTGAGGCTGGCTGGAGAGACTTGGGAAGTCCCTACTGACCCAGATGTGGTAGCAGAGGTTAAATGCTAGATTTAAACTTGGTTCAGAGAAGAGGCTCCTTTGTGGCAAAAGTTTAACTGTTTTCAGCTTTTTGTAGTTCTGAGATTCAGCACGAGATTTAACAGTAATATAGGACTGTACAGTAGAAAACTAGAAGAGGAGTTCAGGAAGCCATACAGTTCTTTTTCCTTTTCTCTTTAAAAAATTTTTTGTTATTGTTATTTTTGAGACAGAGTCTTGTTCTGTAGCCCAGCTGGCCTTGAACTCATGGTGACCATCCAGCTTCAGCCACCCCACAGTGCTGAGATAACGGGTGTGGGCTGGCATGCCTTGTTTGCCATCCAGCACTTAAGGTGCCATGGAATAATGTACCTCTGTTGTTAAAATTAGATCTTGTTTTGGTGCATAGGCAGGAGCTCATAACCTACATTATCTACTGTTATGTCATGGCCCTGTAGCTACCATGTGTTCTTATATTTATGTTTGTGAGTTGGGTATGGATTTGAGCTCTGTTAACCCATGTTCTTTCATTTTTGAGATTTGTTCACAGCATTGTATAGAAGGTGATTTTCCTATGAAGAACAAGTTATAGTCAAGATTTAACAATGATACCACATTCTATAATCCCAGGCTGAGGCAAGAGGACTGTGAATTTGAGATCAGCCTGGGCTATATAGCAATGAGTCCTTGTCTTAAAAAGGAAAGAAAAAAAAAGGAATGGGAAATAAACTTTCCTCTAATTTATTTTGAAAAAAATCATAGTATTAGTCAGTGGTACACAAAAATGAAATGTCTATTTCATATTCCTCCTGTGATTTTTTTTTACTGAAATTCATAAATGCTGTGTGAATGGTTTACCAAAGCTTTCTAAAATGACTGAAAATATGCTCTAACAACCATCTGATAAAATGAGAAAAACTGAACAAAATGTGTACTCATATGAATGAGTCTCTGAAGGAATAATGGTGCATATGAATTATCAAAGTGTGAAGTCATTAAAAACAAAACATGTTTGGGTTTTTATTGAGTCTTAATTGTGGGCTTATTTATTTTCTTTTGTAAGTTGAGTTTCAAGAAAATTGCCTAACTAAAATTGTGGAGGGCAGTGTTGTAGGACATATATTAATTATACCATAATTTATTTTTCTCATAGTAGCGACTGTTCTTTTTTTTTTTTAAGCATTAACATGCATGCTTTCCTTATGTAGGAGAATATATAAAAAACTGGAGGCCAAGATACTTCCTTTTGAAGACAGATGGCTCATTCATAGGATATAAAGAGAAACCTCAAGATGTGGATTTACCATATCCCCTCAACAACTTTTCAGTGGCAAGTAAGTTAATCGTAATTGTTAATTCACCTTGTGTTTATTTTTTGCATGGCTTTATGTGTCAGATATGTTAAGATATCTGAGAAACCCATGGAAAAGTATGGATTTACATTTAATAGCAGGGACATTTTCAGCTTTGCTAGAAATTTCAGTTCCATAAGATAGGACTATCAGTAATACATAACCTTATGCAATGCGGTATAGTTTAATATTTTTCAAATTTAGAATTTAACTATGATAAATCTAATTTCCCCAAGTATGTAAATTCAAATTTCTCTTTATAAAATGTAAATAAGAACCTTTGAACTTGACTGCTCTGTTGAACTTGATTGTAAGATGTTACATTGTTTACTATATTTCTAGTTAAAATACCCTGTCACAAATGTGTGATTATTTGACTGATAATATAAGTGATTCACTATTAGAAATCATTTTCTGGGATTATTATGTTTCTAGTTACATTTTTATTTCTTACAAATATCCAACAAAATGCTTATAATTTGCTTAGAAATACTGCATTTGTTTAATTTGTTTGACCATAATGATAATGGCAATGATTATTTTATTGTCATATCATGACCAGGCTCTTGAGATTGTTTGTATTTAATGACTCATCAATAAAGGATCTTGCTGTGTTAATGCAGAAGTAAAGTCTTTTAATATTAAAATTAACTGGTATATGAACTAGGTAGAGTCTATATTGTTGAAATAAAAATTTTAACTAGATAACCTTTATTTTGGTTGGATGTTACCTATTAGACACATTTGAAAAAGGTTGGAGGGAAAATTGAAATTTAAAACGTAATTATAACAAAATGATCTGAGAAACAATAGCTTTTGAATATTATGAAATTCATTTTAAAATATAAGAACTTCAGACATTTTTATTCCTAGCTTTATTTTCAGTTTTCAAAATAAACCTTAGTATAGAATTATAGCTAGTTGAATAAGGCTATGAATGTTAAAACCCTCTATATTTATATCAGTGAATTCTTATGTAGGGTTTTTATTTTACTTTTTTCAAATGAGACTATCATTATATTATAAACATGCACACGCTCGTACATAAATATATATGTGTGTGTTAAGGAAAATATCTTTTCTTGTACTAAAATATGTTCATTTAGATATTAATGGCTTTGGGTCAACAGGAAATTGATTTCAATCATTTTGCCAACTGGAATAATATCTTGTGTTTTTTATTACTTAAAGAAACTTATTTTCTTTCTGAAGATATTTTGGGTGAACATTTGCTTATTAAAGTGATAGAAATTATCTTTTAAACCATTAATCATGTCCTACATAAAGCTAGTGTAGTTTCATAGTTTGTCTATTTTGCTAACAACTCTATTGGTTGTCTGAAATAATTTATAAGAGTACAGAATTACTCTATCTACTGATCAAAATGCAGCATTTTTTGACCTTATGAAATTTCACACTCCAGCATGTTTTAAAGACATACTGTATGTCACAGTCTGCCAACATCTGCTCTGACACTTCCACTGGCAGAGGCTGAAATAAATGCTGTATTCTTGGGGAGACATCCTATTTAGTGACTGACATCAACTTCTCTACAAAATAAGTAGTAGCTGACATCTGTAATCTTCATTTGTCTAACCAGCTTCTTATTGGTACTTGACTCTAACAAGTAAAGTTGTAGTTGAGCCCCTAGTTTTCAGGAGTATTAACTTGTATCATAAAGTAACTCCACTATTTATAAAGCTTTATTATAATCTTAAATTATATTAAAATTTTAAGGAAATAATGGCCAGTGAAAGGATATTCATTAAAGAAAAGCTTCAAATTTCAAATTTGATACAAGTTCTGGGTATGACCTTAGGCAGGTCAGTCTCTGAAACTCTGTGTTCTTATGTTTCTTCCTCAGCATAGTGGAAACATGTTTACTGTTTTGGAAGGTAGAGTTTGGGTAGGCTCTTGAAGATGAAGTAGACAGGAAGCTAATCACAACAAAGGAGAAGGGTATTTCAGGCATGCTTCTATAAGGCATTAAGGGAAGAAAAAGTTGGAACAAGAAAAGGTTTCTTTGCTAGTTATTTCCCTTTTAACTTAGCCCCCATTACAATATCTTTCTCTTTTTCTCTTTAATTTTATTTATTATTTTTATTTTATGTGTATGCGTGTATTGCCTGCATGTATGTAAGTGCACCTGTGTCGTGCAATGCCCACGGAGGTTAGAAGAGGCTGTCAGATCCCCTGGGACTGGAGTTATGGACAGTTGTTAGCTGCCATGTGGGTGCTGGGAATCGAACCCGGGTCTTCTGCAAGAACAACAGTGTTCTTAACTGCTGAGCCATCTTTCCAGCCCCTACAATATCTTTCTTAAATGGACTAGGGAGACAGCTGAGCATCTAAGGGCATTTGCTGCTCTTGCAGAGAACTTTGACTCTGTTCCCAATACCCGTAAGACTCACAACTACCTGTAACTGCAGTTCCACAAGATCTGAAGCCCTGTTCTGGCCTCTGCAGGCACCTACATGTACTCGTTACACACACACAAAAACAGGAATATACACATACATATGAATAAAAAAATAAATTTAAGCTGGGCATGGTGGCACACACCTTTAATCCCCAGCACTTCAAAGGCAGAGGCAGGTGGATCCCTGTGAGATCAAGGCCAGCATGGTCTACATCATGTGTTCCCTGCCAGCTGGGGTTACAGGGAGACTCTGTCTCAAAAGGACCAAAAACAAAAAACAAAAAAATAAATTTAAAAATGTTTTTTAAAAAGGAGGACTGGCGAGATGGCTTAGCAGTTAAGAGCCTGGCTACTCTTGCGGAGACCTGGGTTTGGTTCCCAGCACCCACATGGTGGCTAACAGCTGTCCATAACTCCAGTTCTATGGTCTTTGATGCCCTCTTTTGACCTCTGCAGGTATTGAATGCATGGGTGCACTTGCACACATGCATGCAAAACATTAATACATATATAATAAAAATAACATTTACCTCAAGGGCTGGCTTGGGAGATGGCTCAGTTGGTAAAGTGTTTGCTGTGCAAATATGAATACCTGCATTTAAATTCCTAGCACCAGTGTAAAAATCCAGGTGCAGCAGGACTTGCCTTTGATTCCGGTGCTCAGCAGGGATTGGAGGGTAGATGGGAGAAAGGTGAATTCCTGGAGTTCATTGGTGGACCAACCTAGCCTAATCTGTGAGCTTCAGGTTCAGTGAGAGACCTCTTTAAAAATAAAGTGGAGAGTTATAGAGGAAGACACCTGACATTGATTGACCTCTGGTCTCTGCATGCATGCACACACATTAACACACACATACACACACACACACACACAGGTGCATACACACATAAATATGTAGAAGTCTATGGATTTTAATAAAATTTCACAGAAATAGGCTTTTTGCTCATTTTTAAAAAGGGAGAATATGAACTGGAAGGATTTTAGAATTGATTTTTTCCAAATCTCATTAAAATATGATTTTCTTCATGTCTTATTAATATTGTTCAGGCTGGGGGTATAGCTGACTGGTAGAGCACATGCTCAGCATACATGAGGTTCTGGGTTCAGTCCCTAGGATTGGGAGAAAAATGTCAGAAAGGGCTTCTGCATTCATTGTTTCTGATTGTTAACAACTGCAGTCTAACTTCTTTAATCTATTTGATTGAAGCCACTTTAAATGAATTCTCCAGTAGCCACCTAATGAGTGATGTATGGGAAAAAAAGTTTTTCTTCCTATGTTAGGTTTATGGCCGATTTCCGTATAAACAAAAGACAGATGAACAAAATAAAAATACACACATTTGTTTAACAGTTTTACATAGCCTTTGGAAATTAAGACCCAAAGAATCTTTATGCTTTGGTTTGGTGAAGAGGTAGATAATCATGGGAAAAATGTGATTGGAGAAATGGGTTATATATTATGATAATAGGCTGGGGAGACCTGAGCAAGGTCTGATTATATGGATTTTTCTCTATCCCTTCCTATGTCTTTCATAATGAAGATGTTTCTTTCCTCTAGGAATAGGAAGGGCACCTCTTCCAAATGAGGAGCTTAAGACCTGCTTCAAAGGAGAGTCAGGAATTCTGCTAGGTTTTATGATGTAATTCAGGGAAAATGGGCAGCAGAAAGTTGAGCATGGCCTTGCTTTTACTGTTTCCTCCCATGCTAAGGTGTCATACTTTGCTAAATCCTGTCATTAAGCCTAGTAGACTTTTTTCCAGTTCTGTCTTTCTTTCTGGGTTCATATGTGGGTTGCAATTTATTCTGGTGATCAACATCTTTTTTGGATGACTTTCCCTAATGTGCTATGAGATTTTTCTGTGTCTGTTTCTTCTTCTTCCTCCTTTGCATAGTATATAATTTTGGTATTTAATGACATCTGGCCTGGGACTTCTTAAACTTTATTCCCCTAAATGGTCACATTGACTCCCGAGTTTTCAGTTGTAACCTGTGTGTAGATTGCTACCACATAAACATGTACTCAGGCCAGAATGTTCTCCTTAGAATTATGTTATATTAACTTGGCTGCAAGAAATTTTTATCCTAGATAATTATAGCCTTTACTTGTTCATAGACTGACCTCAAGATATTTTTGTCTATTTTCCAGTTATGTTAGTTCAGTGTTTCAGTTCTGCTGCCTCTGCTTGAGCAGAAACCTGGATCTGTTCCATGCTTTTTTTTATTTCATGTCTTTACCCCACTTTGAATCCATTTCTAATTCTGATGATTTGCTTTTTATTTATTGAATCTATTATGTCTTTTCCTATAATCACCCTAGAATAATCTCTCTTCATCTCTGATACAGATTCTTAAGTAGATTATCTGCCTCTAGTTTGTACCACTCATGTTCTTCCTTCATATGTCTGTCAAAATGAACTTTCTAAAATTACGTCTTAACTATGCCATTCCCCTTGAAAACCCTTCCTTGGATCTTCATTGCCTACTGGATGATGTCCAGCTTCCTTAATGTATCATACAAAGATCTCTTCAATCTGGCCTTGCCTATCAGCTCTCGCTTCATG